GGGGGGGGGGGGTGTAAAATGCGCTGTTTGGTGCATGAGCAGTTTGTGCAGCCTTCCTGCCTTTGGAGTCGTGTTGGGGCGGATCTGTCGCAAGGTTGCCACCTTCGGTCATGTAGGTGGTGCTTTTGCGGCACGAGGATACTTATTTTGAAAGCAGGCAAAATATCACCCTCACACTGAACAATCTTTGACTAGAAGGGTCGGTTGTTGTGGTTTCTTGTTTTTTAAGGGGCGAGAGGCGTGGGTTGCTTGCAAAAGGGGATCTGTGGGGAGAGGATTGATGACACCATTACTACTTCAGCTTCGTCGTCATGGCACTGGCAGAACTGTGAGCACTACCGACTCCCCTTCTCATATCGCCATTACTCAGTCTCTTGCTATTCAAAAATTATTTCTACTAGCACCAGTAGTAGCACTGCTTGTTGGGGGGCATCCCCCAATCTGTTTCAGCCTCGGAGCCTTCTAATTCAAAGATCCCCGACAGGAGAAGCACCAACCGGCCATCGAAAGAAAAATGAACTGTCACTAGAGACCGATGGATATGATGGAAGGTTGTAAGAGGGTGCATTGCCTTCCCCTTCTCAAAATATAATATGCAATATACAACATATTATATACATAATGATAACCGCTAACCTATAATACATAATGTATAAGATATAGAGCCAGTTTGAGAGGGTTTTCGCCAAGGTCGCACATATGGCCTCTGGTGAGCACTCACTTCGAGAAGCTTCTCCAGGCCTGACAGCCGTGGGGGTGCATGCGGCTCTGGATGATTCGGATGGGTTTAGGGTTTAGGGGATGCCACGCAGCCCATGACGAAGCAACTCGTAGAATAAGGGCTCAAGATTTTGGTCGGAGCCCCAATTCAGAGCCCGTGGGCTGAGCCCTTTTATTCATCCCTAANNAAACCCTAAACCCTAAACCAGGGCCTGCAGCACGCTGCGTGTTACGAAGCTTCTGGCCAAGGGGCCTGAAGCGAACAGAGACCCCTCTTGGCAATCTACCCTCTTCGTGAGGCATTCGGAACCCCCGAATTCCCGTGTCTTAACTTCAACCAAAGAGCTCGCTAGATTTGAGCTAAATCCTCCGAACAATCCCGAAATTGGTAAGAGGCGTCATATGAAGCTTGAAGAAGTCTCCCGTCCTGTCACCAAACCGCAGCGTGACCCGGGCCTTAGTAATTGGAATGTGGTTCGTTTGAATGTCACGGGTTTGGTAGGTCTTCATTGGGTGTTATCGGGGGGGCTCAGACGCTTTAATGACTGAACAGGGTCTTGGACTTGGAGGATGTATTCCAGTATAGTTGCATTGAGGTCAATATGGGGACATCTAGACACCTATAGAACACGACCTCATGTGAACTTGGGGCTTTTGGTCTTTAGGCTACTGCTTGCAGTTTCAGAATTGAGGTTTCCGCACGGTACTTGGAGGTTTGAGGGTACAAGAGCCCCATAAGCCTGAACAGGTGCAGCACCAAATGTCGCCAAAACGCAGATGCGAGTATGACTACGCGCAGTATGTTCCATGATTCCTCAAGCAAGTCCGCCCTGCTCTAGACCAGAAACCCGCAACAGTTACGGTTGGTGTTACATCAGTCCCTATACCCCTATAAACCCTATGAATCCTGAGTCTTAAACCCTAAACCCTGAACCCTCAAGCCTGAACCCTAAACCCTAAACGCTCGTAGATGTACGATTGCCTGCCCGACCTGGGCTTTGGAGCGCAAGCGACGAAAAAGGCCCTGTAAAACAAAAACCTAAACCCTGAACCCTGAACCACCCTAAACCCTAAAACCCTAAACCCTGAACCCTAAACCCTAAAACCCTAAACCCTGAACCCTAAACCCTAAAACCCCAAACCCTGAACCCTGAACCCTACAACCGCCTCCCTCAGTACGTCATTGCGGGCAACGGCCTCTCGGAGATGCAGTTCATCGAGCGGCTCATTGTGAACACCCTGAGGCCTACTCTGCCCTGTCGGAACGTAGGGCCATTTTTGTAGGTGGCAATGTGGGAAACTGTAAAATTTCCTTTATGATTTCTATGGAGGTTCCTATTCATAAGTACTTTCCAGATCTTTCCAGGGCCCCAAAACTACAACCCAGTTTTTGAGTTTCAATAAGCTAGCTGGGTGCGTTAAGGCTCTTCTAGGTTCCCCAGTAGTACACTTTTGCCCTTTTACTTTTTCGGTTCCCTTAATAAAACCAAATTTTGGGAAAAAGAGTACCCTTATTTTTTTGATTTAGGGGCTACCGGAGAACCTAGCTCTTTTGGTTAGGTTCAGGAAATTGCAGAATTCCCTTGGTTGTGCTTTCTTCCGCCTTTACCGTTGGGACCTTGTCTTCCAAGCTTGTCGAGCCAACGCCGTAGCAAACAGCGAATTTCCTGAACAAGCTTCTTGGTTTTGGCAGCGAATGCTGGATCGTCTTGGAAGCTTCCAAACTTCTCGGCGACAGGCTTTGCATTCGGCTGATTGGTAACAGCGAGTTGGTTCCCACTCTGCTGCTCCTGACACAGCCGCTTGGCTTCTACGGATTCTACGGGAGAGAGAGAGAGAGCTTCTCAGATGTGTTGATACATGCATGGTGTAAGTATAGGCTCACCATGCGGCACTAAGCCCCTTTAATCCCCTTGACGTATGTGCGCACGCATGTCTTAAGCATGAATGTCGATATGCATGGTTGCAAGAGTACAGGCATGCCTGTAAATCTGTGTCTGTATGTACGCATGAGTGCATGTATGTACGATGTCACAATACATGTGCATGATTGTTTATTCTGGAATGCAATATCATGTAATGTAATGGTTTGCATTCATTGGAACGCAATGTGGTGTGATGCAATGCACTTTATATAAGTAGTGCTGCAAAATGTCATCGAATGTAATGTATGCATGATGCAAAGCACTGTCATGTATTGCGAGGTATTGTAATATACGCGTGCATGTACGTGTGAATGTATGGGTGTATGTACATGCAGCACTATGTACGTATGGATTTATGTACGTTTATAGCTGTCTGTCTGTCTGGCTGGCTGGCTGTCTGTCTGTGTGTATGTATGTAAGTGTGTATGTATGTATATAGGTAGGTAGGTAGGTAGGTAGGTAGGTAGGTAGGTAGGTAGGTAGGTAGGTAGGTAGGTAGGTAGGTAGGTAGGCAGGTAGGCAGGTAGGCAGGTAGGCAGGCAGGC